TGAACTATTTCAATTAAAATATACTATTTCGATTAAACTTGAAATTTTAATGGAAGCACAATTGACCCCTAGCACTGTTGAAATTAATTGAACGTTTTATTATATTTTGTTATATTCGCTATACACTTTTGTGAAATATGTAAGTCTAGCTGCAAATTGCATTTGCATTTTCCTGACGTTTAGCAATTTTACAGTATGAAAAATATTGTAGTACAAAATTTTGGGAATTTTATTTTATATGTATTTTTAATTCAGTTTAATTTTACTTTTATGTAATTTTTTTATATATACACGAAGTAATGATTTATGTAGATTAATTTTGAAAAATTTTGAAGAATGTGAGTTTTACATTTGGTCTTTTCATGTAATCAAAGAGTCATTCATTTTGAATTACTATGCAAAAGCTATTAAGGTATTAAGTAAATTAATTTTTATTTAGTTGAAGAATATGTAACATACATACGTATTTTAAAACAGCAAAACCTTAAATGTAAAATGTGTGCTCGGAAAATTTTTTTTAATCTAACAGATGAATTAAATTTAAAGAAATTCTTAAGTTAGATTTACGATGGCTTTTTCTACTGAAACATCAACAATATTTTTATTTTATTATTAACTTTAAGCACAATGTATTTTCTTTGATCAAAATCTGGGTTTTAACTGACACTCATAAAATAAGTATTTGCTCAGAGGAAAATTTAGTCTAAAAAGTAAAGTGATATTTAAATAAAATTTTCAGTCTGACTAGTCTGGCTTTTTCTACTAGCAAATCGATGATCTTTCGTTTTAATGTTAATTTCAATGTATTTATGCTAATTTTCATTAGTCAAATAATTTCAATACTAAATGTGCAATTGCTCATTTTTGGCAATATTTAACAGAAAGAGGCATTTAATAGAGGCATTTAATACCGTTCCGTTTTAAAGCATCGTAAAAATCCTCAATATATTTTTTCTCTGTGAATGTTTAATTTCTCAAACACCTTTTTACACGTTCAAATCTTTTTACACGTTTTAGTTTCTCACAAATGCTTTTTTTTGCATGTCTTAACTCTTTTAAACTCTTTTAAAATGTTTTAACCTTCCAGATTTCTTTACACCTTCGGGTTCTACACCTTCAGGTGTTTTTTCACGCGTTTTTTCGATTTTTGCGTCGTTGAACGTAAAACGACGCACATTGTGTTCCAGATATAAATAAATGCGAAATAAAAAGAGATGCAATAAATAAAAAAATAAATAGATAAAACAAAAAAGCCATTCTAAAGATATCTCTTATAAAGATATCCCGACAGAGATACATAAATTCTGCATCACACTTTAGACATCACCGGGAGAGCTATAATCGTTCCGCTAACGGAAACGCCGGCGCGGTTCCGGAACGAACTCGCGACGGGAAATCGGCCTCGTAGATGCAATCGCATTAATTCATGGACCACGGCCGCAGCTC